TGGCTAGTTGTAACCTCCAATGTAAGGTAAGCCCCTGGTGGCATGCCATGTCCTAATATACTTGAATAAAAACATCATAACTCCCAAGATAGGGACTTTAACTATAAAAAAAAAAAAAAAAAACAAAAATATAATAATCTAGTAAAATGATCAGGTTGTCAACTTCTTAAATAGTAGGTTAGATATTCAAATTCTATCAATAATGAAACTTTGGATAATTATCTATATAATATTTGTATTATAGCAACTGTTATTAACAATTAGATTAAGATACCTATAATAACAGTTATATCAGTATGACTAATAGGTTATAAAGCATCTGTGTAATATTAAAATTATACAAAAAAATGCAAACCAATAATTAAATAATATAAATACTAAATAAATTCTTGTAGTTATATAAATTTATTAAAATTAGATAACAAAAAGTCTATTTGAAAAGACTCAAATAAAGAAATAGTCAGATCTTTAATAGTACTATTGTAAAGATTAGACTATTAAAAACAGATATCAAGATTATAGTCTTAGACAAGCAAGAATTTTTAAATTAAAAAAGATTCAAAGATACTATTAACCAGGCTATCAAGAATAAACTAAAAAAAAAGATATTAGGTTAATTTAATATACTGATAAACTGGTTATAAACATATATAGTCTATCTAGATTAAGATTCTAGTAAAAAGACAAAAGTATACTAAATTACTAGAAATATGTTATAAAATAAATGCTAAGGCCTGTGTGAACTTTACAAGAACATAATAGTTTAATAGTTAATCTTAATTACAAGTATTGATTTTATTATAATGATATTGAATTAATTATAAAAATAAGTACAAAAGGTTCTAAAAGATTTATTTTAAAGATAAAATAATTCTAAACTTGAGATAATGATCTGAACATCTAGGTATGATCTAATGAAATTAATACAAATTGCAGATTTAGAAGAAATATTCAAGCAAAGATGTTAGATATAATAATTAATAAGAACCTTTAGGCAAACTTCTTAAATAGGTAATATAGAAAAGTTATACATATAATTAATTGTATGCTTTTTTGTAATAATTGATTGAATTATATTAACAAAAAAAATTATTAATAAAAATTAAAAGACCAAAGAGATTACCTTAATATTAAAAAAAAAATTATTAATATTATTAAATATTATGTTATGCTAAAAATCTACTTTGTAATACTAAGAAATAAATACTAATATAGAAAAATCAAGTAAACAAGAATCTCAAATAAGAAGTATTACTAATCAGACTATTAGATTTCAGATCAAAGAAAAAAAATATTAAATTAGTTTCAGTATACTAAGAACAGATTACAGTTCTTCTAGACTATCTGAATTAGAAATCTAAAGATAAAATAAAGATATACTAAAAGTATTAAAAATATACTATAAAATTAGTATTAAGATCTAGATAAACTAGAAGTGTAATAACCTAGTGAAGTGGTCAGGTTGTTAACTCCCAAATGGCAGGTCCAGAGTTCAAATCTCAGTATTGACAGAAAATTTGAAAATCCTTCCTATATTATAGTTAACTGTTTCTCGCAATTGATTAGGATAAGACATCTGTAATTTATGTCATATTAGCATGACTAGCAAGTTACATGTCATTTGTGTAATAGTCATATGATATTGTCCTTTGGAACTAGGTTTGTAGTTATATAAAGGAATGCAAATCAGTATCAAGTGATGCAAACTTATAATAAGTTCTCATGACTATGTAAATCATAGAAACTAATAGAAAAAAGATGAAAGCTCACTTGAAAGACTCGAATAGAAAAGTAACTCAAGCTTTTGATAATGCTACTGTAAAGACTAAACTTATAAAATGAAACTAGAACTTGTGAAACTAGGCAAATATGTTAGTCTTTAAGAAGAGACCAGATAAACCAACCAGGCCATCAGAATTTCCAGGTTCTGAAAGAAAAGGTTACATGCCAGAAAACATATAAACCAGAGGTATATAGTTTCGACCTATTTTTCCAAGCTATCTGAAATGACAGCTTGGTGTAACTTGAATTGAATACCAAAATACTAAGGATATGTTGTGAAGTTAGTATTAGGGTTAGAATGAACTCTACAAGAGCATAATAGTTTAATAATATGCTCTGACTGTTAGTATTGGTCTTAATCATAGTAATATCAGATCAGCTGTAAGAATGGAATATAAAAGATTCTGAAAGGTTTAGTACAAGATCAAAAATTCTAAAAACTGCTTTAAAGACTTAATGATCATGGTATATTTTCACTAGCATTGGCTAAAATCATTAGTAGGCAGAAGTAGATAGGTAAATATGAAAACAAAGTAGTTAAATAGGGAATCTACAAATGGGTTCTAAGTATAACAACTAGTATAGAACCTTCAGGCAGACTACTTAAATTAGACAATAACTAAAGTTATACAAATGGCTAGTTGTACATTCTCTCTATAGTTGCCCCCTGTGGTTGTAAAATAATTATTAGGCAAATATACTATTAATAAAATCCTGGGTTGCAAGTACTTACCTTAATATTTAAAAAAAAAAAAAAAAAATTTAGATAAACTCTATAAAAATAACTCTTATTAATATTCTGTAGAGTGAATAAATAATTAACAAAAAAAACCTACTACACCTTACTAGTAGATGTTATACTCTAAAATAGATAACAGACTAAGAACCAATACAAAAAAGATAGATACCATACTGCTCAAACAATATACTAATTAAGTATATATAAGATATAATGATAGTATATAAATGACAGGACAGATGATTAGTAGGCTATAGATACGGCATCTAGTGTAGAACCCTAAGGCGGACTACTTAAATAGGCAACCAAAAGTTGCACATATAACTAGTTGTATTCTCATCTCTGTATAAAATAGTTGTAATAACTAACTCCAATAATAGTCAACTCATACAGGAGGATCCCCAAAATTCCGGGTCGGAATACTTCGGAATCATGATCGGCAGGGCCGGAATTAACTAATTTTGCCCAAGATCACTAAAAGTTTTACTAATGAAACCATAGCTCACTCATTAAGTAAAGCTGCCCAGCTGATAATTTTGGCCCAAAAATGGATAACTAGTATTACTAAATGCTAACTAAATACCGGGCTAAATCCGAAGTATTCCGACCCGGAATTTTGGGGATCTCCCTGTATGAGTTATAAAAGTCAATAAAGTTCCGCCAAAAAGTATGACCTTTAACAAAAAAAAAAAAACTTTTATAAGAGGATAGATAAAGTGGCAGATACATAATATCGAAGTACCACTTAATTTGTCTCACCAAGATGAGTCAATGGATGTAAAAACATTCATTTCTAATCATAAATAATCTTTTTATATACAAATAGATACTGTCGATAGAGGCCAGCCTGGCTCGGCTCACAAAATTTTGCAGACTGGGCCGGACCGGGTCTAACAGCGTTATTAATTTTGTGTAATATAAGCAGACCATTGGCGACACCGTAACACGTGATCTAATTTCCTAATTCTAACACTAACCTTAACGATAATGCTGGCCGTGCGGTGTCGATAAGGTTAGTGCTGGTCATTTGCGGTGCGATAAGGTGGTGTCGGTAAGAATAAGCATTATCATGTGAGTGAAAATGAATCAATATCGTAATCACGGCTGATTTATCATCTTGGCCTCTTACAACCTCTATGATGGCAGCTACTCGAATGCAAACTGACGTTCCGACGCCTCAAGATTCTCCTGACTTTTCAAAAAAGGATTGGCCCGGTCGTTGGTCTCATATCAATAAAATACTGGATAGGAGAGGTCCCTTTTGTGACAAGAGTTTCAGTCCCGGTCACGGTGAGGTATAGATAATTTACCGCTCGTTATTATTTGACCTTTGGAACATTATTACTAAAGGAAGCTTTCTATAATAAAATTGTAGGACATTTTACTTAATCAATGTAGAGTTCTCGTAATCGGTGCTGGCGGTCTTGGCTGTGAGATCTTGAAAAATTTAGCTCTGTCTGGTTTTAAGGATATCGAAGTTATTGACATGGATACTATCGATGTCTCGAACTTAAATAGGCAATTCTTGTTCAGGTATGTTATAGATTTTCAAACAAATATTTTGACCTTAACTGATTATTTCTATTGATCTTATAAAAATTTTATTATCGACAAAATAGACCGAGTGATGTTGGAAGTCCTAAAGCCAAAGTTGCTGCAGAATTTATAATGAAACGAGTTGCAAGTGTAAAAGTTTCTTAGTACGTATGAAATTTATTTAGATAGAAACAATCTTTCCTCTTTAAATAATAATCTTTCAACAGTTATCACGGAAAAATTCAGGATAAAGATGATGATTATTACCTTGGCTTTCATTTGATAATTTGCGGGCTAGATTCAGTAGAAGCGCGAAGGTGGATTAATGCTACGTTGGTGAACATCGCACAGGATGATCCCGAAAAAATTCGTGTTCTGATCGACGGTGGGACCGAGGGTAGGGATGAAATAAAAGATTTAATTAATATGAATATCTAAAGAAAATTTTGATAATTAGAAATTGATTCTTGTAGGTTTTAAGGGTCAAGCCCGTGTAATCATCCCGACGGTAACATCCTGTTATGAATGTTCGTTAGATATGTTAAATAAACAAACAGCGTTTCCAATTTGCACCATTGCAAATACACCAAGATTGCCCGAGCATTGTATAGAATGGGCGTCAGTTATACAATGGCCAAAAGAACGTGAAGGTAGATTTAACTCTTAGAGATTATTTTATATAATCTTATAATTTAGACATCTACTTTTTTCACATATAGATGAAAAAATGGATACCGATGATCCAACGCATATACAATGGTTATATGAAATTGCGCTCAAAAGGGCTATGGAGTTTAATATTACAGGTGTCACTTATTCGCTTACTCAGGGCGTTGTAAAAAATATTATTCCGGCATTTGCTTCAACAAATGCTATCATTTCAGGTAAATTTATTATTATAATGATATCGCATTTACCATTGTGAAATTCTTTTTGTCTCATAATACTATTTTTAATTCACTTTTGTAGCTGCATGTTGTAATGAAGCATTTAAAATTGTTACAACCTCACAACCTTACCTGAACAATTATATGATGTATATGGGTAATGAAGGTTTGTACACTTATACATTTGAGCATCAAAAAAAAGATGATTGTCCAGTTTGTGGAAACCAAAACGCATTCTTGGAGGTTGATAAAGACATTACAGTTCAAGATTTTATTGAACTTCTTAAAGAAAAGCCTGACATGTGAGTTTCATAATATAATCAAGTATTTTTTTATGCTATGTAATTGAATTGTCTTAATTTCTTTATAATAGTCAACTTAAGAAACCAAGCTTAACAACGGACACTAACGAAAAAATATATTGGCAATCTCCTCCACTCTTTGAGCAACGTACTAGACCAAATCTAGAGAAGCGATTATCAGAATTGGTTAAAGATGGTTATAATATAATAGTTACGGATACTACACTACCAATTTCGTTAAATATTACTGTTTCCTACATTTAAATAATACAATACCAAATAGGAAATATATTACGATATATATATATTTTATAATCTTTTTATATAGATGAACATCCAACAACGAAAATATAACACTTCTGAACCATTATATAATGCTTATATTTAATCAATCTTTGATTTGTTATCTTCACCAGATTTTATTTAAATAGTAGGTTAACCACTTAGCACTAAATCCCAAGCTTGGAATAAAAAAATTTGCGATTTTATACTAATTTTAGGAAAGCACGTGACTTCACGTTATCCTAAATTTTTTCAACGGGGATTAGGAGATTCTAGACCATATTTTTCAATCAACGACATCGGATCTGACATGATCTGCAAATGTCACACATTAGTATGCAAATAATTAATAAATATACTGTCTCCTTCCTATCCCACTTTTAAATATAATGGGTGTCACCCAGAAAGTAGTACAATAATAACAACACCTGTAAAAATTAGTTTAACGATAAGTCGAAGCTTACTAGGATAGTAAAAATAATTTTGTAAACTGTTAAAAATATGATTTATGGGATTGTTTAGCTTTGTTTATTATTATTATTTCCTCTTTAATATAGTATCGGTTTAGTATAAATAGAACCGATTATTTATTACTCTGGTCAAATTTGAAACAAATTTGACTAAAATTATATAAATAGCCGGTTTTAATGGACAGTGTTGGTAGGGTTGAGTTTAGTGATTGACTAAATATATATCGACCAAGTCATCAACAAAGAGCTTGCATTCAAAATATCTTATTATTGGTCAGATCAGAAGTGTTGGTTGATGACCAAAGTCGTAACATTTTTTTGATATGACTTTTTGGTCATATTAAAAATTTTAATAAAAAATTTTTATTATGATTCTTATTTCGACCTTTGTTTATGACCAAATGCCCTATGACAGATCATTAAAGTCATATAGGTAATTTAAGATCGTCGGCCAACCTGCTTGCTAATGGAAAGATTCGAAATTGAAATCAGAAATCTTATTTTTTTTTTTCCAATTTATAATTCAAAATGATATTAAAAAAATCCTATTTTTTTAACTCGTACAACAAAAAAAAATTTTTATGCAACCGATATATTATACAATAAATTTTTTTATTTAAAAAAAAAAAAAAAAAAAAACCGAATTGAACTGATATTTATTATCGAATGCGAGAAAAAGCTTGTAACACATGTTTTGTTTCTATTTCACCACGTTCTAATCGTTGCTTCTGTAAGAATGTTGATGAAAGTTTAAGGTGCAAGTTCTCGCAATAAATTTGAGTGGCAGTATTGAATTTGGACGCATGATAAAAGAAATGGTATATATGATCAAGCTAAATGAATAAAAGTACAAATATGACTAAAAATATTACCAAGTGAAACATAATAAATAACCCCTATCCTTAAATATAACATTAAATACCTGACTTTCAAGAGGTTGAATTACTTTTTCTAGGTCATTTATTTTATTTTTCTCATCTTCATTGCAATATTGTAATAAAAATTTATGTTGCTCCTCCGGTAGGAAAGACATATCTATTTCATCAGGTAACATAGATATTTTGCCTTCATCCGAAGGAATTGATGATGCAACATTGACAACTGATTCATGAAAAGAATTGATTTCAGAAATCAAATTTGTCCATTCTTCACATTCTGCTTTCAATCTGAAAAAAATTAGATGATATTTTATTCGCAAATGCAAATACAACAATGATACAATATTTTAGCCTTCTCACCTTCGTAAAATTGCCTCATATTCTTCTAATTTCCTCTGGTTTACGATATTTTGTGGGTGTGGTTTTTTCGGAAGAATTTTCTCTAAAGGTTCATGTACATTCTACATATTCATATAATCATTATGTGCAGCCCAATTTATTATCGGATAACAAATGTAAATATGTACAAAGACAGTTATTAAAAAATGCATTCAAAAAAAACATCATATATCGATACCTGTCGATAATACCATGACGTACTGATTTTGCCATCTGTTAGATCGTTCAATACTTCCTGCTCTATGATCTTTGCTATTTACAAATTTAAATAAATACCGAATAGGATAACTAATTCGAAAAGAATGTCATATCATTCTTACCAATTTTCAGTGCATTTTCATCTGCCGAAGTCTGCTTGTCTAGAGCCCTTTGTCCACACCATCCTAAAAGTTGTCTGAGTTTTATCGGTTCCGGCATTTCTGCCTGAATATGACGAAAAAATTCATTTGAATTCACATCCGGATGTGGTTTGGCTGGATATATTACATTGGGATTCATTTGTATGTTCAACTATTATCCAATTCAAAATGCAAATTGTGAGAATATACCAGTGGCTACAAACCTACAAATCCGTTACCAATTGAAGACGCTCTTTTGCCTCTTTTTTCTATACTCGAACGCCGCTTACTTTGTCTAATTCCTTGATTTTTCTTTATAATTGGCGTTTCTGTGAGCGGAATAGGAATAATAGATTCCTCTAGTGGGGCATTCCTTCTTCGAACAAAGACAAAGCCTTGATCTTCTTCTTCATTAGGTGCAAGACCTACCATTTTCAGAAAAACATTAATTATTGTTATCGTGGTTTGTTTATTTTGCAAAACACGATCAGTATACAATACGAATAACACGTGCCGCAAAGTGGCACGCGTAAACCAATCATTTGTCAAATTACTGTATCAGTATTTGACTTATCGTTATCACAGGCGGAAGTTAATTTGAACAACGATAAACATTAACACATGAAAAAAATAACAAGACGAAATTATACATACTATATATTAGCGTTAGGGCTTGTTATAAATGATGGTTAGGATTATTGTTAGGTTTAGTGGGGATTATACGTAGCTGTTTTCGAAAAATCGGCAATTTTACATTAGAATCGGGTCGGGTGTAATCACGTGACCCAAGTCAAATCAGAAATAAAAACAAAAAACCCCCAAAAATACGAAAAACGGCAGTCTAAACCTAACTTGGATAGGTTAATAAAAATGTCGGGAAGGCAAATTTGCTTATATATAACTATCTAAAACCTAACCTAGCCCTAATATAAGATATCCATAACCCTAAAGTTAATTCAATAAAATATATTATGCTTTAGACGTCCCGATATGGAAATCGTTGCTCACACCTTTTTGAACACACTACTGCACTACCCAAAAATTCTGCAAATCAACCAATCATATTGCAAGATCATGTGTAACGTGAAAAGCGCAAAAACAATCGAATAAACGAAAGATAAAACCTTACATTAGGGTTAGATATAGGATCAGATTTATAGCAATGTTTATACCAAAATTTGATGGGGAATTTTTTATTAGAATGCAACCGATTTTTCAAAAAAGTGCAACGACCCTAGTGTCGCCGCAAAAAATGATAATCGGACCGATCTGCCGGGTACATGTGGGCTATAATTAAAGAAGAAAAAAACGAAGCCTACATGAATCAATAAGAAAAAAACAAACAAAATTTTATACCGTATGACTAGAATATATATGAAACAACTCTATTTATAAACCTAAACCTACTATATACTCACGATTCCAAATTTACTACGTACTACAATTAACAAACACAAAAACGTTACAAAATCCAAACATAAGCCAGGTTCTTTTATTGAAAAGGGTTTACACCTACAATATATACTAGTTAAACAGTCAGTAATGGTTTATTTAACTTCGTTGAATTTTTATCAAACGCATTTCAATTACCTTTCTTAAGTTAGTTGATTGTCTACAATATTTATATGAAATAAATTTTTTTTTTGCAGTGAAAAACGAAGTACTTTAAAATTTTAAAATGCATAAATAAGTTACCCGGGCAATTGATTTACATCAGCCAATCATACGAATGTCCCCATATGAACTTTAGGGTAGGTACCTTAGCACGTGACAGGTTTTAGGGTAGGTACAAAAATTACCCGAATTGGTAGGGCTTGTAGGTGTCCGGAGACTTTCCCATTTTTTTTTTCCCGTGCTGTGCCCTGAACCCCAGTTATAGAATTTTAATAAGCCGAAATCTCAATTTTAAAATTAATTCGCAAATGGTTTCGTGAACTTCAAATATATATAGGTATATATACACACTAATAATAATGCCTCCAGTACCGCCTCCCGATGATCAGCCAACTAAACCAAAGTCCGCATTGGACATTGTGGTTAATCAATTAGTTAGAGCATCTGTGGGAGGTGATATTCCGTCATCTCTTAGTGATGAGGATTTGGACAAATATGTGGCCGACTTAATAATGAAAGAAGCTTCAGCCAAAAATAAATTATATAACAAGGAAGGACTTAGAGCTTATTTACCTCATACTGGAACGTAGGTAGAACTACGCCCAAGGTCTTTACTGTTAAAGAATAATTCTGATTAGTTTTACATTACTTATCTCTGTAGGCCACCGTGTAATCTTCCAAAAACAAATAAACGGTTCTTGCTTAACGTAATAAAAAGTGTAGATGGTCATAATCAGGCCTTAATCAAAAAGTCTGAAGAAGATGCTGCTGCTGCTCGTATGCGTAATCTAAGACGCTTAGAGCGATTACACCGGCGCCGTTCAAGCAAAAGGAGACATAGGGATAGTGATAAAAGTAGCCGGAGGAGTTCACGAAGGGATAAATCAAGGTATGCCGCCCATTTTAGTAGTAGTAGATACAGTGATTCTGACTACAGTGAAGAAGAAATTTCTAGGTCAAGGTAAAAATCGTTGGTTCTTTATTTTATTGCACATTATATAAGTTATCAATGACATACTTATATTATATTTTGCTAATTAGGAAAAGAAAACGAAGAAGTCGACATAGGGATTATGAATATAGACGATCTAGAAGTCTAAGCTCGAGTTCGAGTTCTAGTTCAAGTTCGAGTCGCAGCTCAAGTAGTTCTAGGAAAGAGAGTAAATATGATGTGAATGAAGGTGATGTGAAAAACCCTGATGTAAATAATCATGATACGGATAACGTAAATAACCATGATATGGATAACTGTGATATGAGCAATAGTGATATGTCAATTTCGCCAATATCAATGTCACCAAAGATTAACTCTTACTCCGCATCAGAAGTAAGTAGAAATGCACCGGTTATTTTACGTAAAGGCCGTGGTGAAGTTAGTGATGGGTCAAAAATGGATAAATACTTTGAAAAAGACTATGATCCCATGTACGATTTTGAAAAATTCGCTTGGCTCAATTATGTTGCAGTCAATAAAAAGGTAACAACCAAACCTGAAGACTTTCCACTTATTACTGAGGAAGTTGAAAATATTGAAAAACTTGAAAAGAAAAAGAAAAAGAAGAAACATCATAAAGAAAAATCAAAGAAACATCGTAAATCTAGAAAGTCAAAAAAGAAACGCAGACGAGATTCAGATTCAGAGTTATCATCAGATTCAGATAGTTATATGGACTCTGATTCGCCGGCAAAACGTAAAAAAACTAAAGATGAAGTTGTACGTGAATGGGATATGCCGAAATTAACCGGTTGTTGGGATCTTGAAAGTTTAAAAACCAATGAAGATACTAAAGATACTATTTATGATGGTGTACGTGAATGGGATAAACCCAAATTAGCATCTGGCACTTGGGAGTAGGGTTGCGATTCAAATCTTTTTGTTTGAATTATGACATTACTATGTAGGTTGGGTTTGGAAATCAAGATTTCCATTACATTTAGAAAAATAACCAAAATCTAAATATATTTCCATTCTCAATCAAATAGTGTAAAATTCAATACCCAATAAAATTTGTTAGATAAATGCTATAAATTATTCATGTTTACTTTCAAATTAAAAATTTGAGAGGGATTTTGTGATTTAATAAGATATATTGAATAAAGCGATATATAGGTCTAATGGCTATATCGAATATGTGTACAATAAGTGAAGAATATATTAAAATGAAAGTTACCACTCAAAATAAAATTCGAATTATAATAATTATAATTTCGATCAAGTTTCTAATAAGTTTTATAAAAGTAAAAACTCTTAGTAAAAATCGATCCCTTACAATTGTTAATAAAATCAAATGAATTGCATGATTTGAATAGGGATGTTAATCGGTCTTTTGGGACTGAATCCTAACCGGTATTTGCAGGATCGGTCCCTAAATCACATGACAACAAAATTCATTTTATAGGACTTGGATCCTGATAACAATACAAAATTAATTTGATTGGATGAACTTATTCGGTAGATTCAATTCAGGATCTGATACAGGATTTAAGTTCTATAAAATGTATTGTATTTTCATGTAATTTAAAGGATCAACTCCTAGGATCGGACCGGACTGGATTCGCAATTTAACATTCCTAGATTTAAATCATGATACAAATCAAAAAAAAAAATTAGTATTCAATGTTCAATACGTATTTTAAGAGTTCACTGGGATCCAGGATTGCAAATTTATATATATATATATATATTTTTGGTATTAAGGTAACCTCTTTGGTCCTAGCTTTTTGTTAAAACTTATGTCAGATACATGTTTTATACAGACATATCTATATTGAACTATCAGACAAGTGTACAACTGGTTACATATATAACTTTTCTATATTACCTATTTAAGGAGTCTGCCCAAGGGTTCTTCATAAGTTATTATACCTAATACTTCTGTTTAGATGTTTTATTTAAACCTTTTGATCTGATCCTAGTATTAATTTCAACAGATTACAAACCCAGATCTATTTATTTTTAATTATAGGATTATAATTTTTAGACTATTTTTATCTTTGAGGCAAACCTACTAGAATGAGTTATATTTTTTTTTATTGTTAACTTGGTTTGATGTTATAATTAAGATCAACACTTGCAATCAGAATTATTCTTTAAACCACTATTATTCTTATAAAGTTCATCCAAATCCTGGTACTCATTTTTCTGATTTCTTCTTTATTATCTTCTACTAATCATAACTTAGAACCAACTGATTCTTTAAATTTTTAATTTATATAGTTAATATAATATATTTATATATTCTTTTTCTTCAGTGATTCTAGCAGCTTGGTTGGTTATGTATTTCTTTATATATTTTTATTATTTAGTTTATCTGATAGTTTCTATAAAGGTGTTTTATGAGTTTTTATTAGTCAATAGCACTATTGAAAGTTTGTGTTATTTCTTTATTCAGGATTTCCAAGTAGATTTTTATCTTCTTAGTTTCTTAGTCTTCTATACCTAGTAGTCTTATTACAAGTTTATACTGAAGCCTTATATAACATCAGTTTTTCATATTTTTCTATATATATATAATGTTACACTTCATATAAATGTCTAAGCTCCTAATGTTAAATAGAATCTGACTTGATGTACTTAAGATTACAGATGCCCAAAACCTAACCAATTGGCAAGAGACAGTTATTATAACACAGATATAATTTTCAAAATTCATTATTTGTAGAAATTAAATCTTAGACCTGCTACTTGAAGGTTGACAATCCATCCCCTTCACTAGGTCATCATATCTACAAATTTATTATATAAAAAAATTAGTATATAATGTTATTTATAATAATAAATATTTCTTGATATTAATAATTAAATTCATAACCAAATATAAAAACCTTATTGTGAAGATGACAATCTTAGTGTAATGGTTAAATTGTTATCCTCCAAGTGGCAGATCTAAGGTTCAAATCTTACCTATGATGAAATTTGGAAATTATATTTGTGTTATGATAACTGGTTCCTGTTGATCGGTTAGCCTTATGTAGCTATTACCCAGATACACCAAATCAGGTCCCTTCAATATTGGGAGCTCAGGCATCTATGCAAAAGTGTAATATTACATGTATATAGAGGAATGTTTACTAGTGTTGTATAAGACTTCAGTGCAAACTTATAATAAGACCACTGAGTGTAGAAGACTAAGAAACCAAGGTAACAGAAACCTATTTAGAAATTTCCAAGTAAAGAGGTAGCATAAACTTTCGATGGTATCATTGAACCAGTTGAAGCCTACAAAACACCTTCATAGGAATCGAAGATTAAAACTGGACAACAAATATGTATAGAGGAGCATATAACCAACCAGGCCACTGGGTTCATTAGAGAAAAAAGAATACAGAAGTATACCATACTGGGCCATCTGGATTGGTAGTCTGGAATAAGACCGACAGTTCTGAGTTATGGCTAATAGAGAATGATAGAAAAGATGTCAGAAAGATGGGTACTAGGGTTCTAGTGAACTTTACAAGAGTAGAAATAGTGTAATATAGCAGGTAAACAGATAATTCCTGTGACTGCAAGTGTTAGATAACTATAGCATGTTGCATAAAACTAGGTCTATATATGTAGAACATAAAGGCTCTAGTAAGTTTTCTATCAAGAATAAAGTAGTCCTAAGGATATCGATAAGCATCAGGAACTTGGATGGGCAGTACCTTGAGATGTTTCTATGATACAAAGAGAACTGCATATGCAAAGGGTTTAAATAGGCAAAACTCCTAGTTGGTTTGCAGATATAGCAATTAGTATAGAACTTATATAGTAATATATAAATAGACTACTTAAATTAGGCACCAAAAGTACATGTGTGGC